TGTCATTTTTTGCTCTATTTMTTCTTGCAATTCGCTCATCTGTGAACAACCAGATCAAACTAAAATAATGAATTATTATTAGTGCTGCAGCTAAAGTAAAGGATGRTGCAGGCAGAAGTTAAAAAGATGGGAAAGATTCATTTAACAAAATCAAACATAATAAAGTCTGGGTGTACAGTAATGAAGCAAAGCAACAGTAAAAAACAAGAATCTGGTGAAATTGTGACTATGAGAGGAAGAATTACTGAGAAACACAATGAAGATGCACCATAAACAGACACAACAGTCAGTATTAAGAGGCAACTGGTGCCATCATTTTGTTATCCTTCAATGTAAATAAAAAAAAACTAGTTACCGCATAGCAGTAACATAATGACTCTCGCACGCAGAAATGCACCAGAACTCAGAAGTCTATATAAATGTCATGGTAGTGGTTTGGGTGGAGGTCTTTTTTTAGGAGGAGGGGGCATTGGTTGACCTGATGGATAGCCCCACATCAGAGCTAAACAACCAAAGAAATTTGAAGCTCCTATGTTAGTTAGTTATAAGAATTTTTGCACGTCCAGACACCCCCTCTTTGAAAGGAGCCCCCTCCTCAAATATGGGGTGTATCATAAAACCGTTGGCTGGCGCAGTGTAGGTCTGTCTCATCTACAGTCCTGCCAAATTTCATGTTGATCGGCGCAGCCAGTTTTGTGCTTCGGTTGACCAAAAATCTCCGGAGGAAAAAAAAACAGTACAAAAACAATATGACTCTCGCTTACGCTTCGCGTGTGGGGGTCATAAGACCCATTTTAATGTAACCTACAGAGACTAAAGGAATTCTGTGTCCTGGGAGCAACGTCTTCTTCAGAGTCGTCATGGCAAAGTCGGAGTTGACTGGAAAAAAAGGGCTGTAATTTAAAAAACCTCATCCGCCCCTGCATGTCTGCCTGTGTGTGTACATGCAGTGCCCCGTTTAATTAGTGCCTGTCTCTGAGTGTTTGTATGTTAGAGGGCAGAGTGTCGAGGGGCTTATCATCCAAAAATCTCTTTTTATTCTTTGCTTTTTTCACAATTCTGTCATTTCTATGGTTCAGTCTGAGATCGGTGCTCTTACTCTTTAATTACTTTTTTTTGTCTCTGCTTCACTGCTGAATTAAACTGGTATGAAGCTACCTGAGTGTGCGCTAACCTCACTTTTTTTATCCCACATCATAAAACATTTGCCTCCAATTGAAACTCTTGGTAATCGTTGTATGTGCTGCTGCACCTGATCAGGTGTATGAGCGCTGTCCATCACGTGTCCCCTCTGAACCCAAAGAGGAACTGATTTTATCCAGAAATCTGAATCCAGGCACCACTGTGAGAGAATGAAGCCAACTAAAATATCAGCTTAAATCGTGACTCCTGAGGTGGAACGTCCACCGAGTACCAGGTACAAGACTTTAGCAGAAATCTCTGCAGCTCCTCAGAGAGAGGATATGTGATGCCTTCAGCGAGTCCTGGATCTGCCCCGAGCTCTCCTCCCAGTCTAAGAATCCTCCAGAGGGAGGTGACCAGGAGAAATCCTAATCAGGTGCCCGTATTTACCACAACTTCAAGTGCAGAAGTGCACTAGCTGCAGAGGAAGTACTACAGCTAGCTGCTGCTGCCTGTGCTCTCATTTAACCTGCTACAACCCATTGGCTCAAATGGATCCAGCAAGACACCCATATACAGTACACATAACACATTTAGTTTTATTAAGTTTTATTAATCTAAACGTTTAGTGGCTTGAGGCATGCAGTTTGCAGCAAAGGGAGAGAAGGAGAAGGGGTTATCTGCAGAATAAAAGTGGGCGTGTCACAAGAGTGGGCGTGTCAAAAGCATAAACACTGTGGGCTACGAGGCCTACATGACGGTATCCTTAGACCCTGCTTGACCTCTATACAGCCTGACCCTGACCCCAACACTAAGGTTAACCAGGAGAAATGTAGGGGTCTCCAGAAAAAGTGGTGCTGTACAGTAACGCCCCTTTTGTTCTTGTCCAATCAGGTGGTGCCGTACGGTATCGCCCCCTTTTTTTTTTGCTTGTCCAGTCAGGTGTGTCCCTTTAACAAGGTCCGTCAAATCTGGTGTGTGTCGCCTTTCCTTGTGACACGCCCACTTGTCCAGAGACCCCTACTTGGAGAGAAGAGCAGAGGGAGGAGTGAGCAAGTCCCCGCCCTCAAAGTAGTGGGTGTGGCCTACCAAAGCAGGATGCTCACACCTGTGGATGTTTGCAGTAATTGCAGGCTAGGCTACCTGATAAACAAAACAATAACAATAAAATGAGAAACATGTTAAAGTTTGACAGCATTTGCGTGAACCTCCATCACATACTTGAAGCACAAGATTCGAGGGCATGAGCCTCAAGATTTAAGCGAGCACATTGACATTTAAGCGAGCGTGCAACAAGATTTGCACGAGTGCACGGATCTGCTCGCTTGTGTGTGTGACTTTTGAGACTTTCACAAATGTAACGCTGCATTTAAGGCTGGTGGAAAGCTTCTGCACCTCCATTTATGAACCCCTCAATCAAAATAGAACGGACCGGTCTGGAAGCTGGAGGGGGCGGGGCGTAAAGTGTCTGGTTTGGATTTAAAGAGACAGCATCAAAATGAGTTGATCTGAGACACAAGTCACAAAACAGGTGAAAGAGGGCTTGTGGAGCTACAATAAGGAGGAATTCAGCATTGCAGTTCCACTTTATTTAGACCCCAACTGAATGATTTGAATGTGYAAAAGAAGGATTTCTGCAGTAAGGTGAATGCGAACTTTGGTTTTGCTCTGACTCGACAGTCCAGTCAAAAATTGAGATTGTTTAAAGAGCAAGATCCACCAGTTAACTGAACATGCACCTGTTGGATGGAGAGGAGGCTGTCCCTGAACAGGAGCTTGATTCACTTTTATAAGGTTGAATAAGCTCTTCAGGAACTTTCACTGGACAGTTTTAAACCAGGAGATCATATAGTGTCTGTTTTATGTCTACTGAGAAAAAACAGCCCCACAAACCCTTGAATTTACCCACCCTTGAATTTGCCAATCATTTTCATTTGTTTTATCAGCTTTCAGCTGCAGTTACTTTGATTGTTTCTTGTAGAAAAAAAGAGGGAGAGGAAAAAAAGAGGCTGATGATGTGGATCTTTTCAGCCATCTTTAATTCCCTACGCCCTCCTGTCTCTGGTCTCGTCTTTAAGGCTTCAGCCTCTCGGCAAACACGAGAGCGTAACTCTGGGTGGGAGCTCTGCCATCTTTAAAACACATTTTATCTCACGCTCCTCCTCCTCTTCTTTCCTCCTTCTACTCTCYTATCTCTCCAGTTCGACTCAGAGAAAAAGAAAAGTGAGATGTGTCTCCTAAAAACGGAGTTCTACAGGATAAATATGCAAACTAGAACAGTAATGGAATTTAAACTCCTGACTGACTGGATTATGTGCATGMTTTAAAACATTTGCTCCACAAAAAGAGTTCAAGACTGAAACTGGATCAATCAGYCACATGATTTCTACGGTTTGCAGGATAAACACAAGAAAATCCAATTTTATCACAGTAAAAACTTCATGCAGCTCAAAAGAGACAGAATTTTCCATGTGATCCATGTCTGCTTAAACATTCAAAGTTCAATCATTTTATGTTTAAAAATATTCTTCATCCAATAAAAAAATTGTTGTTTTGTGCTTTATTGTGGATAACGTGTGTTTTGTAGTTGAAATGAAGCATGAATATGAGATAAAAGAGAAATCTGAGGCATAAACTGGGAGTTATTGGTGGGGTGGTGGAACAGATGACATGTCTGGTCATGTGGACAGGTAGGAGCTACACAAAGACAGAAACTAGATCTCCTTTTAAACTTGCCTCTTGACAGTCTGAAGCTCTGTGAGCCACTGCATTCCACTCATAGACTTTTGCTTCTGACAGAGAAAACGTGTCGTGAAAACTGTTTTATTTGGAGGCACAATCAGGAAATGCTTAGTGCGTYACATCTACAGTTGTGAAGAATAAAGTCACTGAGAAAAAAATAGAAAACTGCCACAAAAAAGTCTTTCAAAGCAGTGGAATTAAAGAAAACTTGGTGTAAATCCGTGCGTAAAAGCGCAAAAGTCCGATWCGAAAGAAGTGGAAGAGATACTTAAAAMAAAATAAAAGCTGACTTGTTTGTAAAGTTATATCTTCTCTCAAATACAACTCAAAGGAACAAAGAAAAGAAWAYAAAGAAAAGAWAAGTGGCCCAAATCATCTTGGTGCCAAATAATGCCCACTGGCGCGCGTCGTGGGCACATTTTACGCACAAAAAGAAAAGAAGCACGGATGGCCCCGCGGATCCGCGCCTCGCTCCCGACAGTCCGCGAGTAGGGACCAGAAGTAGGCCTTCATCTCTCTTATAAACGTCGACGCTGTCCACGTCCTCAAAAAGAATGGATCTAATTAAAACGTTGCACTCGTCATCATGGCCGCGGCGGTGCCAAACTGGTTGCTGGTGGAAAGAAGGCAGGGGAGATGCGCGCGGCCCACATGACTGCCTCCGAGCTGCAAAAAAGGGATGGGAGTCAGATCTGGTTTCTGCGCGCTCATTGGCCGAGGGGCTGACTTCTGACACGCAGACCAGGGACCCTCCTGCCCCGTATATATAGGCCTGATGGGACTTTATTATTCTAGCATCACGGCAGCAGGTTTCTGCTAAGTTTGGAGTTACTCGCGTCACCACAACTGTATGCCTGCTTGAAGGTGGTTTAAACACAGGGGCTCAGCGGCACAAGGAGTCTGCATGTCTATTTAGACATGCTCAGCTTTGTGGATATCCGGATTCTGTTGCTGCTTGCAGTAACTTCATACCTAGCATCATGTCAATGTAAGTTTGATTGTCTGCTCTTTTTCCCCCTCTCTGATGGATATTTCCACTGCTTGAGGATCTTTTCGCCTTGGCTTTTGTTTTGGGACTTACAATGATGGCCAACCCAGAAGACAAAATTCAACGGACTGAGCAAAGGATTCTTCAGTTTTTTTTTCTTTTTTCTTGTTTTTCCTCCCAAGGATAAAATAATTATAGGGAAATAAAAAGGGTTTTCCTTAGAGAAAAACAGTTTGATGTAGGCCTAAAGTATTTCTTCACAACTTAAAATGCATGTTGAGCTATTAAAACAGACTATATTTGACTTTTCTTTTAGTAATAGGGTTAAAAAGAAAGAAAAACTTAGTGGGGCGTTGTACACATTGTTCCATCCAGATGTTGAAGGGTCTGACGAGTGGAGCTGCAATGTCTCCCCCTGGTGGTCAAGAGAGGAAACAACTAATTGGCACCAATTCGATCAACTGAATCTGTTCAACATATAGCTTAGATCAGAACAAAAATGTTGATTTTAACATTTAATTTACAATAAAACTTCTTAATATTTGTTTACAATTACAATTTTACAAATGAAAATTATTCTGAGAGAAAAAATATATATTTAAATATATCATTCAGAATTTATGTTTAGGTTAGCATGTTAAATAGGTAATTATAAAAAAAAAATAGAAATGTCACCTCACGTGAATTTGAATGCCCCCAAGTGTGCCCCCTTGTGGACAGACTTGGACACAACCTTTCAGAGTTCATGGAGAGGTCTCAGCTTGGTGTCCAGCTGGTCCACAGTCCTCCAGAGGGGGAGCTGAGGTCCACCTGCAACTTAAAGAGACAAGTTCTGACACAAACAACCAGTTTTGGGAACAAAACTGCAAACAGTTTGATATTAGGACCAGMTGTCTTTAGAAAGGAGCGACTTCTCWTCTTGTTTGGAGTGGCGGGGAAACTATTCCTCCGGGGCATAAAAGTGCTGTTCAGACCTGTTAGCAGCTGCGGAGCTTTAATATTTGGAATGCTGCAGCTCTGAGGTCCTGGTGAACACGGTCTCAGAGAGGTTGCAGTGATTATTCAGGGGTTTGTAGACGTGGCCTCCGGCTCTTGTCGAAGCTGTGCTGGAACTTGTTAGGCAGCAAGCAGMTTGTAAGCTGATGCAAAGAGCAGGAGAAGTGTTTTAGTTGGGAGGGCCTCACGTGTTTTCATTTTCAGGCTGTGAAAAACACAATCAATCCCAWCTTGTATTGGATCAGGTGAAGGACAAAGACTTCAGAGCACACAAAAAGCTCCCCCGTTTTTTTAAATTGGCACAAACAATGCTTTTAACTTCCCACATAAACAGATGGAGTCCCAGTGTGTGTGCTGTCATGAGCTTTTGTTGTCAAGCAGAAACAAAATAAGGCATAAAAAAGAGTACAAATAAATGGAAATGACTTTGCTTCTTTTTCAGGTTTTGATTTGTAGTTTTTAAAAATGTTCTAACAAAATACTCCTTTTTTTCTTCCTGCCCTGCCTCTCCCTCATCATCATCATCATCATCATCATCATCATCGTCGTCGTCGTCTCCACAACGGCAGTATCGGTTAGTACACATGCATGCTACCATCAAAACAATATACCTTAAAGACAGCTTTACCTTGTCAAGATGCATCTTTTTAGTCTTCCTCACTTTGTGAAACGTCCCAGGATGGAGTTTAGCAGCTGCTGCAGGCCACTCTGAGCAATCTCAAACCCAAGCGAGCCTTTTTTTTCGCCTCAGAAACTGGGTTGTTTCGTGTGTAGTTTTCCCCCTCTTCCTGGCCACAGACAGGTGAAGGTCCTATTGGCTGAAGATGGAGTCAGTGAAAGTTAAAACCTGAGTGTGGAGGCACCCCCAGAGCCAGGCACAAAGGGTCCTTTCTGAGGACAGCAGAGAGGTTCGTGCCTGTGGCAGCTGGCCTTGGATCAGTTTGGGGTTGACCCTCTCCTCCTCGATTTAGACAGAACAACAAAACGGCTGATCTCAAATCAGTGAGTCAAGGCCAGGATTGGATAAAAGTCCTTACAAAATAAAAGCCCATTTCTGTGCTTGAAATTGAGATTGCTCAGAATAAAGTTTGGAGCTTCAGCGACATGTCAGGAAGTTAAGCATCATGGAGTTCCATTTTCTTATTGCTGTAACTTTTATCATCTTCCAGCTATTTGGTGAATGTTTTGACAAAAACATCCTTTAAAATCATTYGACAAAACATCTGCACACAGAATTYAGACATTTGTTTTGTTCTTCCTCACACGGCATGAAAACATAAAGTAAATCTTTTCTACTCAAGGCGTTCGATGAACCTATAAGCTGGATCTTATTGAGTGTCTAAACTTTAGCTTAAAAACACACAGGTTTGGTTAGAAAAGATACAAGCAACTTTACGCACACCTTGCTATGTTTGTTAGCCCGTTGCTTCATTTCTAAAAAAAAAAAGCCCAAACAGTTGGAAAATGATTTATAGATTAGGGTAAAGCTTTGATTAGGAACAACGGCCTTGCTTTGCCAAACAGAAAAACGATCAAAGTTAAAGCAACAGATTGATTTGTCGGGTTGTTGCTGACTCGTTGCTTTCTCTGCTGCAGGGGCCCAGAGGAGACAAAGGACCTCGAGGTGACAGGGTAAGCTGAACTCTGCTGCCTTTGATTAAAACCAGCGCTTCTATAAAATACAAGATTTAATGAAATGTGGTATTTTAGCCACAAGTGTGCTGTTGTCGTCTGACCTATTAACCTCATTAGGCCACACCCCTTTGTTTACCACCTGTGTAGTTACTCTGAATCTTTATGAAAATGATACGTGTTTAAAGCTTACCACCATTATCTTTCTTTTTAGGCATATTTGCTGTTTTTTGCTAATAATAATAATAATATGAGTATTAAAATATATTAAAATAGTCTTTTTGCTCCACAAAGGTCCTTCATACAGTTTTATTATCTGTTTTCCAGGGTCCTCAAGGCCCAAATGGAAGAGACGGCAAACCCGGACGCCCTGGCCTTCCTGGCCCACCTGGTCCCCCTGGACTCGGCGGAGTAAGTCTGCTTTTTTATTTATTTCTCTTAATCAGGCATTGTTCACTGGAAGGGTTTCTTGAAAATTGGCTCAGAAAATGTATTTCTGATGGTGACAATCTGTGCAAAATAAAGCAGAAGGCCTGGATCAATCTGACCTGTTTGGMTTTCTGTTGGGTCTGACAGGAACTCATATCTGTTCTAACTTTTTGACCTTTACCCTTTTGAACTCAAAGACTCTTTAACATATAAATGACCCAGCATTTGGTTACTGGTGACTCGTTTAATTAGGAATTAGCTTTAATTCTTCACAGCGCTCCACCTAAATTTACTTTAGTGTGACACAAATGTGATTTTTTTTTACATAGTATAAAATAACTTTTTTGAAATGACATTATTATTAGAGCTTTGCAGACATTTAGCTGTATATTTTTTCGTGTTTAAAACTCAAGATTTCATCTAAAAGTTATTAGTGTGAACGTGTGTATTGTGTAAAATTAACTCATTTTATCTGTTCAACAGAACTATGCTGCTCAGTATGATGGTGTTAAGGGCCCCGATCCCGGCCCTGGACCCATGGTGAGGACACAAATGATGCTACTTTTTGTTTTATTTTATTTTATTTTATTTTATTTTATTTTATTTTACCAGTTTAGGATTATTTAAAATCTTTGCAAGCGATTCTGCACCTGATTGAAGTGCATGAGAAATTCTATATGTGTCATTAACGCTCAGAACAAAAACAGAATAAAAAAAACTTTTAGGTCAACTTGAGTTGGAAGTTATTATTATTATTATTATTTTAATCTTCTTTCTCCTTATTAGGGTTTGATGGGACCCAGAGGCCCCCCTGGACCTCCTGGACCCCCTGTAAGTCCAAAAACCTCCTACAATCTAACCCTACATGCAGATTTCATTCAAACTTTMATTCACTGTAACTTCAATCTGCACCTGCTCTTGTTTAATAGGGACCTCAAGGACATACAGGACACGCTGGTGAGCCTGGAGAGCCTGGTCAGGCTGTAAGTATTCAGTTTTTCCAAATTATCAAACACGGGAAAAAAAAAACTTGATTCACTTCACTAAAGTTTCGTTCTTCTTTTCCAGGGTTCTGCTGGACCTCGTGGCCCCCCTGGACCTCCCGGCAAAGCTGGAGATGATGTACGTTTGTGTTTGTCCGCTTTATTTCCTCTTTTTCTTTATGTTTTTGGAGACATTGTGATAGCTGTGTTTCTTGTTCACTCGCAGGGTAACAACGGCAGGCCAGGCAAACCCGGTGACAGAGGTGCCGTCGGCCCCCAGGTCAGAGATCTTTTTCCCAACAACACAAAACACAAGAAAAGTTGACTACAAGTGCAGCACATGTCTAACTTTTATTATTAATATCATTTTATTGCAGGGTGCTCGCGGATTCCCCGGAACCCCAGGACTTCCAGGAATGAAGGGACACAGAGTAAGTTTGTTTTTGTTTTTTCCCACTCTTGATCGTTCCTTTGAGTCTCACTAGATTAAAACAGAGCATGGACCAATGCAAGTTTCTACTTTTAAGTTTAATATTCCTTTAGTTTGTTTCAAATTAGTGGAAAGAGGCATCTGGCCATGTGTGATGTTGAAAATGCCTTCCATAGAAACTTGTGCTTAAAGCTTCTGTAAAAATGCACTAAAGAAGAAAAAAAATCCCTTTTAATGGGTCTTAATTACCTTTTTAATGTTTCTCCACTCATAAAGCATGGAGAAACTAMATTTATAGATTTTAATTAATGCAGTCAAATAAATAAATACCTCTTTTCCTTCTACTCTACAAAACTCCAACTCTCATTTCCCAGCATCCTCACTCGTCTCTGTGTTTRAGGGTTACACTGGTCTGGATGGACGTAAAGGAGAACCTGGTGGTGCTGGACCCAAAGTAAGGCAACCCCTTTATGACATCATCATCAAACATGTCTGAAAAATGGTTTCCCAGCCTCCTTTATTAATCTCTGCTGATTCTTGACATCTCTAACCTTTCCATTAGGGCGAGCCTGGTGCATCTGGAGCATCTGGAAGTCCTGGACTGGCTGTAAGTTTTTGATGATTCGTGTTTTCTGCACAAATCCTTACAARTCTATAAGTACTCCCAACAATAATCAGCTAGCGTGCATTTAGTGCATAAATAAAACCAACCAGTGACCGGATGGCGTGTTTTGTCCACAGGGACAGCGTGGTCAGCCTGGTGAGAGAGGTCGTSCCGGCCCTGCTGGTTCTGCTGGTGCTCGTGGTGCTGATGGCAATGTTGGACCTGCTGGACCCGCTGTGAGTAAAAAGAAATAAAAAACTTAGTTGGTTTTGTAATGAGACGCACCTGTTTGTCATCGCATGAGACGTTATGCTTCACCTGTACGCATCCTGACAGCCATGTTTGTTCTTCCTACAGGGTCCTCTGGGTTCTGCCGGTCCCCCTGGCTTCCCTGGTGGTCCCGGCCCCAAGGTGGGTGTCAAGTCCCTTTTTCTAAAAAATGTTTAAACTTAAGGTCACGGAAAGCCATTGATAGTAATAATCTTCAACCAGTTGGTTTGTCTTCTGAAGGAAAAGCTTGTTGGTATTTTTATATATTTATATAGAAATAATTCAAGCTCCAATGATTCTAGAGGCTGTTATTTCTCTAACACATGTACCCAGCAGGTAATCCTGAAACACTGTTTAACTGTGGGTGTTCTTCTGATTTTCAGGGAGAAATTGGACCCGCTGGACCTACTGGCCCATCTGGACCTCAGGGAGCAAGAGGAGAGCCTGGACCCAATGGTGCTGTTGGCCCAGTTGGTCCTTCTGTAAGTATACAAAAATATATTCACCCCTCACTTCTTGCCTTATTAATCCTTGAGCTGATTTTTGGTCCTTGATTAAGTCTTACTTTTTAAAAAATGTATTCGAAAACAGCAAACAAAAAATACTATCTCACTGATTTTCCTTTTAACCTTTCCTGTTTTGAATGGTTCTTTTTAAAACATCTACACTGTATTTAAAGCAAAAGTTTAAAAATGTAATGACCTTATTTACTTAGCATATGTTTTTGTTGTAATATTTGAACTTTRATGCCTTTTTTAGGATCTAAACCTTTAAATGATTGTTTTTGTTGAGGTGCATGTTTAAATCTTACATGGTGAGACCTTCTAATCTCTCGTCTTCTCTTCACAGGGTAACCCTGGTGCTAACGGCCTGAACGGAGCCAAGGGAGCTGCTGTACGTAATATCACACTTGATGTGGACGTCYCTTTGAGTCAGCCATGAAAACATTTAGACAACATGATCCCTCCTTCAGTGACATCCTTGCAGAAAAACACAGCCTACATTTGTTTTAGGGACCTAAAAAGTGTTATTACTACCATTAATTCCTTTGCACACCTGATATGATGGACCAACAAACTCCAGACACATAAACACCTGCCTGAATATCCAAACTACCTGTGCAGTTATTGTTGCATCACTTGGTGTCTTCAGGACCAACTTTTGCTAAGCTAACAAAACAAATACACCAACAAAATCTGCTTAATCAAACAGTTTTTTAATTATTTGTATAATTTTTGCTGGGATTCAGGTTAATTTAATCATTATTATTTTACCAAAAATAAGGCCCGAAGATTCAAAAAAACCTTCAAGCTGACTTGTCCGTGCCTCTTGTTTAGGGAGCCCCTGGTGCTGCTGGAGGTCCTGGTTTCCCCGGACCAAGAGGAGGACCTGGACCTCAGGGACCTCAGGGCGCCACTGGACCAAGAGGCCTTTCTGTGAGTGACACGAAACACATAAAAGCTGAATCTAAACATGCAGAGTGGCAAAAAAATGCTTATGAGAAAACTCAATTGGTCTGGAGTGGCCTCAAAGTACAAAAGTTATACATGAGGTTTATTTATTTGTTTATGTTTTTTTTTATAAAGTTTTTGTTTGTGTTTTAGGGAGATCCTGGCCCTCAGGGTATCAAGGGAGACACTGGTCCCAAGGGAGAGCCTGTAAGTTTGAAATTTAATTTATTAAAGTAATTAAAAACAAAAACAATGTTTACATATGGTGACACCCATCTTCTCTGTGGTCTTCCTCAGGGTAACGCTGGTCCTCAGGGAGTCCCTGGAAGTCAGGGTGAGGAGGGAAAGAGAGGACCCACTGGTGAGATTGGTGCTAATGGYCCTGCTGGCGTCCGTGGAGCCAGAGTGAGTACATCACCGTCCGTCTGTTTTAGATCCAGAGCCACATTKGAGGAGTCAGCTCCTCACTCCCGTGTGTCTCCTTTAGGGTGCTCCTGGAAGCCGTGGTCTGCCTGGTGCTGACGGACGTACCGGTCCCATTGTGAGTATCACATCCAAAAACCGGGCAGCGTTTTAACACAAAGTGAAAATTCTGTTCCTAACACGCTGCTGCTTCCCCTCGCAAAGGGTATGCCCGGTGCTCGTGGCTCCACTGGTGCCGCCGGACCTCGTGGACCCCCTGGAGATGCTGGTCGTGCTGGTGAGCCTGGCCCAGCTGGTCTCAGGGTAAGTCTTCTGTTAAGTTCTCCACCTTAGCGTTGCTAGATTTGATTGTTTA